GGCTGCAAGTGCGGTGCCAGCTGCACCTGCAGCCCATGCACCTGCAAGTGAATGGGCCTGGGCCCGGGCCCGGGCCCGTAATGGCTGGGCCTTGTAGTGTTATTATTAATACTAATAATGTTATTTGAAATTGAGTCTCTGTCTGTCCTGTTAAGGATCAAATGTGCTGCCATCATTTATGTGGTGATGGCTTATGTAATAAAAGCGGCCATTGTGTGTTGTGATGGGTAGCTTCTGGAGTCTGTGTCTGTGTTTTTTTATGTGTGGAAATAGTTTGTTGGTAATGTTACCATCTCTGCATGTATTAGGAGAGTTGAGTTTTTGGACTTTGACATTAATGGAAACTCATTTCTCCTATTGTATGTAGTGCTTTTAAATTAAACGAGCTTGGTTCGGCTCGGCTCATTAAGGCTCGAGTTCAGCTCGAGTTCGAGGCCTTAACGAGCCTAGCTCGAACTCATTAAAAGCTCGTTTGGCTAACGAGCCGAACTCGACTCGACTCGATAAGGCTCGTTAAGGCTCGAAAATAGAATTTTTATATAATTATTATAGTTCGGTTCGTTAAAGCTTGAGATCGAAGCGTCAATGCTCGAGCTCGAGGCCTTAACGAGCCGAGCTCGAGCTCGATTTTAGGCTCGTTAAGGGCTCAAGTTTGAGCTCGAACACCCTAAGCTCAAGCTCAGCTTGGCTCGTTTACAAGCCTAATTGTATGTGGCATTTGATCCTACCGGTGAATGCATTCCAACGGTAGAAAAAAACTATGACTGCAGTGGTTAATCATATTTTTTTCAAGTGATTAAAATATTGTATTCTTATAAACAACGTAAACAAAAGACTTCATTTTTAAGTGAAATATAACACTCCATAAAGCAAAATAAACAAGTACACATTTCATAACATAACCTTGTATTTTTGTTACAACTATACAGATGAGTCTAATCCGTCTAACAGTTAGATCGTCTGTACGTATATGTTCGATTTTTAGTTCTCTTTGTTTTTCATTCTGTTTTTAAAAATTTGGTTTCATTTTATGGTGATGTTGGGAAGCTATACCAGTGTCCAGTACTGGTAAATTAGAGATGAGACAATGACAGTGAGAGAGCACAAGGATATGAATTGATTGATCTTTGTACTTAATTAGATGATTTGTGTTTCACGAATTATTTGTAGTATAGGGTCTGTACAGACTTGAAATGGGACTTAACAACTGAACAAGTTGGTAGAATTAACTGATAAGGAGGACTACAAACAAATTGTACCACTGTAAACGAATCGAGCGGTTTGTAAGTGTTGGAATTAATGCTCGACTGAATTAACTGATAAGGACTACAAACAAATTGTACCACTGTAAACGAATCGAGCGGTTTGTAAGTGTTGGAATTAATGCTCGACTCAAATTTGAGTTTGACCGTGTATGAGAGAGCATTGCATCTCAAGCTTAAAACTTGCAAGTTCCGAGTGTTTGATAATTCGCTTGAAAATATATAAAATTATGTAAAATTTTCAAACTATGACACTTTTTTTTATTGAAATTTTGTGGTTAACTCGAACGAAATTTGAGCGAATCTCAAGTGATTGTGTTTCTTTTTCGAGTGGAGCATAACTCAAGCTATGGTGTTTAAAAGTATAAGTTAAGAGCATCTTCGATGTTGTGTTGCATGACGTGGAGAAAGAAAATTAAAAAGAATTGTGTCTCTAATAGTTAATGATAATTGTGGTATCATTTCTTATGTGTAAAATTGTAATTTGTTGAATAATAGATATAAATTGAATAAATAATATAATATATAATAGAAGTTGTTTATAATAACTTCTACATCTATAAAACTTTCTAGACATTTTTCATGTCACATAGGATTATCTGTGTCATGTGACGATAAAACAGAGCAATAGAAAGATCATTAGAGATGCTCTAAAACGTAAAATGTACCGAGCGTTATGAGGTTAATTGAACAATATTAGTTAACATATTGGACTGAACAAAATTATCACTTTAGATCATTGGAGATGCTCTAAAACGTAAAATGTACTCATACCAGGTTAATTGAACAATATTAGTTAACATATTGAACTGAACAAAATTATCACTTTCCGCCTAAATACTGTTAAATAGATATGATGATAATGCATTTTCTTTATTATATATAATATATATGTGCGGAGGATCATAAAAATATGATTAATATATTCCATATTATTTAAAGTACTAAATTATTAGAATTTAATTGTTTCCTCATTCCTCATTTGCAAAATTACAACACTCTTATTTTATTTTCTTTTTTTTGCAAGCACATTAATTCAGTAGACTTGTTTCCCTTAAGAAACACAATTTAATGTCCCCACCCTATAATCTCAGCCATCCATACATCTACGCTAAACCAATCTAACGGCTCTCCTAAGAGATGCTACTTAAATCTAACGCCTAGACTGCGAATTACCTCAACTGCCCTCCTTAAATCTGATTTTCAGTTACAAACTAGTATTCCACTTTGTGCATTTGCACAAATGTAAATAAAATATTGTGAGTTATTTATATGCATTTAATGTTTAATTATTTTTCTTTCAACCTTTTGCTGGCCAAATTTACAATTAAAGGAGGTGTTATAATTTTTTAAAAAAAATTGCATTTACCTGATTAGATGTAATGTAATTTTGGTACGTCTTTTTTTTTGTGAATTATTTATTATTTTTTGGAATTTCAAATACATTTTTATTTTTGTTTTTAAAAATAATTTAAATTTAAACACAATAATAACATCTAATCACATTATACGACCAACACATTATTTGGTCAACTGTTAGTAATTAAAAGTTTAAAATGATTTTTGTAATTTTGAAATGATTAGTGTTGAGTATTTAATAATTAAATGAAAGATTAAATACATCAAAAGTAACGGTTTTTTGAAGAAAAAATTTTAAATTGCCACATAGGTAAAATTAATTAGGTTTTATTAAATGCTATTAGCTAGTAGTTGTATATATATAGATTATCCAATCGCACCACAAATCGGCTCAAATCAACCGTCTATCCATTCCTTGATCGATGGCTCTGATTAACCCGGGAATGATCACCCTCCGCCAAAACGCTGCGTTTTAACCTGTGGCTGAGATACTGAAATGTGCCGTTTGAGGTTCAAACTTTTGTTCCAAACGGCCACGCGCGACCGTCAGAGGCCGTTTAAGAAAATAGTCGCAATCCCAACCCCCGAACTAACGGCGCCGTCATTAACCCCCTTCGTAAGTATTCGTTACATACAAAATGTACATTAAAATATTTTTTTTTACTCCTGTTCTGTTCTCTCTCTATCTTCTTCGCAGCTCGATTTCAGATACTTTTTGTTAATTAATTAGGGCTCCAGGTTTCGATTCGAGCTTGTTCTTCGGCCAATTCATGAGGTTAGGATTTTTTATTTCAGTTTTGTAATCTGCGTGCGTTTTTTTTTTTTTTTTT